GTATAAATAGGGGTGGAGCTGCAATTATTCAGGCTTCTGTTTAAATCTTTAATAAAGAGTTGTTTGTTCACCTGCTGCCTTGTCAATGCCTCACAGAACACAAACATAATAGTGGCGATGAGGATGGGATGTGCTGCCAAACTCGAAGAGCTGAGTTACTAAGGGGGTAAGCCAAGCAATGACGCCTTGGTTGGGACCATGTTTCCCCCCCCCCCATTCCTGCCAATACGAAAACACTGGAGGAAGAGTACTCCCAAGGAACCGTCCCTGGGAGATTAGAAGAAGTCTAGGCAGCACAAGGCATTGCGAGGCCGAAAACGAGAGCAACTCAATGGCCAAACTCGGAAAACTCAGAATTCAACAATGCACATCCAGAGAGGTGGAGCTCGTACATCGCGAGAGTCAAGAATTACTTTAGAGTCAACCAAGTTCATGAAGACAGTTTGAAGGCCGCAATGCTGCTGTGTGTTTGTGGCCAGATGACGTTCAAGATCGCTGAAAACTTAATAGCTCCGGCACTGCTTGAATCTGTTGCTTATTCCAAACTTAAGAGAATGCTCAAAGAACACTTTGAGCCGAAGCTATCAGTCATTGCCTGGAGGCATGCCTTCGAAAGAAGAGACCAACGACTGGGCAAATTGGCTGCTGAATTCATTGCTGCCCTTCGTCAAGCAGCCTGACCCTGCGAGTTCAAAGATCTTGAAGAGAGGCTGCGAGACCACTTAGTGTGTGGGTTAAGAAGCAGGGATCTCCAACAGAAATTGTTCGCCAAAGAGACTATTTCATTTCAAGATACCCTAAGAGAAATCACAGCTGAAGAAGCCGCCAGGGGAGCCATCAAGGCCTTACAGCTATCCAGGAATGTTCCCTGCACAGAGGCCGTACACCAGGAGAGCGCTGAGAGGATTGAAGATTCCGAATCGGATCAAGAGATCGGTTACAGCAGCCACCAGAAAGGCCACAACACCCAGTTGACAAGGCAGTTCCCTTCTCTTGATGTGTGGGGTGTGGAGGCCGACACAAATGCACAGACTGCAGGTTCCGCATAGCAACATGTTGGGTGTGTGGCAAGCAAGGCTACATCGCCGCAGTCTGTCAGGGTCATCGGAGAGAGAGTTCACCAGAAGGAGTTTCCCCGGAAAGGTACTGGGGTCACGGGGCAACACAGAGTGGGCTATTGAGCCACTAGGAGGAGCATACTTAGAACAGGTGCCCAATGCCCTCTTAAGGAAAAACTGCAGCTCAAAGTCAAGCTGCAGAGACTTCCATGCAACATGGAACTAGATACGGGGTCCACATTATCCATAATTTCCCAGGGGACTTTCAAACACATTTGCAGTCACAGCAGCAAAAGAGTTAAGCTCAAGCCATTGAACCTCATGTTAACCGATTTCCAAAACTCCCGAGTAACAGTCAAGGGGGAAGCTACACTCAGGGTGCATTTCAAGGAATTTGAGGGCCCCTGGAAGTCATAGTAGTTGAGGGCAACCGCACAAGCCTCATTGGGCTTGATTGGTTTGATGCATTGGGAATCAATGTAACTGGAATAAACAGCACACAAGCAGTGGCAGTTTGCCAGGAGTTTGCTGACATTTTTAGCCCTCACTTAGGGAAATATAACAGTCCTCCCATAGCTCTTCGGCTTGATCCTGCCATAACTCCAATACAGATCAAGCCGTGTAGAGTGCCCTTTGCCCTCAAGCAGAAGATCGATGCAGAGCTGGACAAGCTGGTGCAGTAAGGCATCCTGCAGCCAGTTGATAGCAGTCAATGGGAAACCCCCATAGTTACGCCACTTAAGGCCAACAGAGAGGTGCGAATATGTGCAGATTACAAGTGCACTATCAATAGAGCACTCCAATAACACACATATCCGGTGCCTGTAGTCAGCCAAATTTTGGCGTCACTACAGGGAGGTCGCATCTTTGCCAAGTTAGATTTGGCTCAAGCCTATCAGCAACTGCTGGTGGATGATGCCACGGCAGAAGCTCAAATCATAGTTATTCACAGAGGAGCTTTCAAGGTTAAGCACCTACAATTTGGGATCAGTGTTGCCCCAGGCCTCTTCCAGAGAGTGATGGAGCGCACGCTCAAGAGTATTCCAGGCATGTGCCCATATTTTGATGATGTCCTCATAGCTGGGGAATCAGTTGAAAAATTGGCAGAACTGCTCAAGGCCATCCTTCAGCGCATTCACGAAGCGGGGCTGAAGCAGGAGAAATGTAAGATTGGAGTAGCTTCAACTGAGTTCCTCGGTTTCCATATAGATGCCCAAGGCATTCATCCTGCTGAATCCAAGCTCAAAGCAATTCAGCAGGCCCCCAGTCCAAAATCAAAGGGGGAGCTCCAAGTGTTTCTTGGACTGCTCAATTTTTATCATGCCTTCCTACCTCACAAAGCCGCAGTGGCAGAGTCAGCTCTTGGACAAACATGCACAGTGGAAGTGGACCAGCATCCACAATAGGAGCTTCTTAGCAGTCAAATTCAGTTGTCTTCAAATTCAGTTTTGATGCATTTTAATGAAAAGCTGCCTCTCTGCATCGCTTGTGATGCATCACCATATGGGGTTGGGGTTGTGTTGAGTCATTTAATGGCTGACGGAAGGCAAATTCCAATAGCCTATTACTCGAGGACCTTGTCCTTTGCAGAACGTATTACGCTCAAATAGATAAAGAGGCTTTGGCCATAGTGGCAGGGATCAAGAAGTTTCATGACTATCTATATGGTAGGCCCTTCACGGTCTTCACAGACCATAAGCCACTTCTGGGGGTTGTTCACAATGAACAAGCAAACACCCCAGATCATATACCCTAGGATGTTGAGGTGGTCAATTTTCCTGTCGACGTATGATTATAGTTTGATTCATAAACCAGGTAGAGAAATGGGCCACGCAGACGGCCTTAGCAGACTGCCCCTGCCACAGTTAGAACCCGCTCCCACTACAGCCATGCACATCCTGGCTATTCAGGACCTGCTTGAGTCTCCCCTTAACGCAGGTGATGTGGCTGCTTTGACAGCTTCAGAAACAATACTGAGCCATGTGCTGAACTGGGTGCTCACAGGATGGCCGGAAAATAGTCCCAGGACTAATTTTCAGAGTTTCAACAGAAGGAAGGACGAGTTGTCAACCCACGGGAGTGCATCTTGTGGGGTAGTCGGGTGGTAGTCCCGAACTCACTAAGACTAGAGTCTTGGAGTCTCTGCATGAGGGATATCCAGGAATAGTCTGGATGAAGGCGTGCAAAGCTACCTTTGGTGGCCTGGGCTGGACAAAGATATTGAGACTCAGGTACACATTTGCCATATTTGCCAGCAATCTAGTCCAAACATGCCCCATATCCTTGTCCACCGATGGGAAACCACACACACACCCTGGTCCAGGATCCACATCGATTACGCAGGGCCTTTCCAGGGACAACTCTTCCTCATTGTAGTGGACAGTCACTTCAAGTGGTTAGAGGTCACATCTCTTCCCACCATGACTGCTGCCAGGACCATACAAGAACTGCACAGGATTTTTGTCACACATGGGTTAACTGATAGGATAGTTTCTGACAATGGTGCCCAGTTTACTGCTTCAGAATTTCAGTCCTTTTTAAGGACAAATACGATCAGACATGCCACATCAGCCCCTTTTCACCCGGCTTCGAACGGCCAAGCGGAGCGCATGGTCTGAACAATGAAGGAATCCTTAAAGTGGATAGTCTCAGGTAACTGGCAACACAGACTGGCAGATTTTTCTACTCTGCCAATGTACAACCCCATGCACTTCTACGGGCAGAAGCCCAGCAGAATTAAGATGGGGCCGGCGTTTAATCACAAAACTGGATCACCTACATCCAGATAGAGTTGCCTCACAAGCAACACAGCCAAAGGCACCACAGAACTTGCAAGTTGGCGACTCGGTCTGGGTGAGGAACTACGGGCAAGGGGCACTGTGGGTGGTAACTGTGGTTTGTAAGGTGACTGAGCCACTTTCTTACGAAATGGAGCTGACTGCTCCATTTTCAGGATTGTAGACTCTGTTCCACCTGTGGACACTGGCTTGGGCCTACCAGGACAGCCCAGCCACAGAGACTCGAGTCTACTCGTGATAGATGGGTTCCATAGCCCTAGTCTTCCAAGTCTGGCAGGCGAGCTGACTGACCAGGGGCCTCCAGCAGTTCCAGGCATTCGGAATGGGCGAAAAGGTCACCAACATATTTAAGGGACTATGTTCAACATATGACTTTATGAACTATTTAGGGAAAGGGGTGTAATGTATTGAAGTGAATTACTTAGAATTGTTGAAAAAAACGGTCATAAGACTGCCAGTTAAGAGCCAGACTTGCTGTCTACATGCTAATTATCTTGTGTTAAAGCAGGAACTAATACTTGAATCCTATTGGCTGCCACCTAGTGGTTGAGTGTATAAATAGGGGTGGAGCTGCAGTTATTCAGGCTTCTGTTTAAGCCTTTAATAAACACCAAAAATAACAGGAGTAAAGCTGGAAGTGTATTTATTACTTCTGAAAACTCTGCTGGTTCTGAGAACTTGGGGTTCTCAGGCATAGGTGTGCACGTGCCATGCGCATGCCACAGAGATTCTGAAAAACTCTCCAAAGAATTGTCAGGCCAGAATAGATTTCAAAATATTAGAAATGGTGCCGCAGGCAGGGAGTTTTGCTTGGCTTTAAAAAGCGGGGAGAGATCGCCCGAGGCCTTTAAGCACAGCATTGTTTGGGGTTCGGTCATCTTTCACACAACACCTCACAAAGCTGTTGTGTGGCTTGAGCACATTTAAGTTTCAAAGCACTTAGTTGCGTCCCGGGATATTTGCATTTGCAAATGCTTCAGGCTGCAGGGAACGAACTCAGGAGCTGCGCAAAGTCCTCTTGGGGATATCTGGCAGATCCCTCCCTACCGATTTTAATTGCCAAACTTTCGGCGCAGCTTCTTTTTTACCCACGTGTCTCCTCCTCTCTTCCTGGTCTCCCTTTCTTTGAAAGCCGCTGCTTCGGGTGTGGGAATCAAAGCTGGAGAGCGGAGCTCAGAGGAAGCTGGGCCACCACTCCCCAACCTAAAGCCTCCCCGCCAAAGGGGCGGGGAGGTAAGGCATTCTTCGGGCAGCGCAGAACAGCGCCCCCCACCAAGCCCAGGTCTGCACGACCCTCTTCCGAGGAGACGGAGTGACGCTGAACGAAGTCCTCGCTTGGCACTGGGAGGGGGGGCGGCTCTCCTTCGGGCCATTGCGCGCGCCTGCCCGCCTGCGCGGTCTCTCCATTTCTACATCTCCCACTCTGCCTCTTTCCCTGCATCTTTAGGGTCGGTTCCAGCAGGGGCTCCCGTGTGGTCGGGAAGTGACCTCCCTGCTGTCGTCGCCGTTTTCCAACCCGGGTGGAGAGCTTGCATCCCAGCGGCACCCCCCCACCTGCCTCCCTGCCTGCCTCTCCTTCTCCAGCGGCGGCAGCATCGCTTCCCAACCAGCCGCGTACCCCGCCTCCCTTCCCTTCCTGCCTGCCCGCCTTCCTGCCTGCTCCCGCCCGTGCGCCTTTTATTTTGCAGGGCGCAGAGCCCCCAGCCCATGTGCTCGCCCAGCGCTCCCCTGCGGCGCGCCTCGCCTTCAGCCCGGGCCAACAGGCACGATGTCAACCACGTCGCACGACCCCTTCTACTCCTCGCCCTTCGGTCCCTTCTACCGACGCCACACGTCCTACATGGTGCAGCCCGAGTACCGAATCTACGAGATGAACAAGCGGCTGCAGGTTCGCTCCGAGGTGAGTGCGCACAGCCCGGCCAGCCACTGCGCCTCGGACCGGCTCCCCTCCAGTCTATTTGCGCGGCCCGGTTCGCGGCAACTCCACGCCGCCTAGAAGACCGGGAGGTAGGCGAGAGGCACAGCTTCTCTCTTTTTCTCGGGCACTCGTGCATCGTCGCAAGATTTCAGCGGCGGGGTTGTGGGGTATTATAGTTGCTTGGCTGCAAACCCCCCCCATCAACACGCACATGGCACGCACTCGCCAGTTGCGTGAATTGGAAGAGGCGACTTGGCCCAACTTGCTGCCGAGGGTTGGGGCGGAGGAGCAGAAATGCCCCCGTAAAGCGGTGGCCACATTTTGCCTCCTAGTTCTGCTTTGGACGATCTGATGGCCGGAAACGGACCAGGGTGCCTCTCCGGGACGGTCGCCCAACTCGATTCCCCCTGCTGGTCCCGGAGCAGAAACGGACGTTCTGGATGGTTCTTGCTTTAGCAGAAGTCTCTCTTATACGTGGGGCAAGGAAGGAATTAGGGCCGAACAAGTCTCGCGGAATTCAGTAGCTCAGTTACTTTCCTGTCACTTTCCAAGTTTTTCTCTTAGAGGGGTAGTTACATTTTTGTGGTTGGGGAATGGCAAAAGAAAGCCTGGGGTTTGGTTAGGTTGGCTGAGGTGTGCAAGGGACTCAGCCAACCAGAGGCTACCTTGAGGGATATGGGGATCAAGGTGTGACCTGCTTTCTGGCTGGTGTTTAAGGAGAATGGCTTAGATTTCCAGACACTAAAATGGGTTTGTGGGTTTCTTTTCCAACCATAGTTGTGCTTTCTGTTTAGAATTGTGGGGCTGGTGACCTCTTCCACTGAAGTTGAAGGGAAATTGACTCACAAATGGTCCTGGAAAATGTTGATTTCGAGGTTTCTCATATTTATACAAGTCCCAAACCAGTAGTGTGCTCTGATAGCCATTCCATTTCCGCATCATTTTGGACAATTCTGCTTTCCTGAAATATTTGATAATAAGGAAAGGCTTTGGCATAGCCGCTGATACTTTTCTGCAGATTTTTACTAGCAGTTCCTAGAACCCCCTTCCACTAGCTTGAGCTTGCAAACTAGATTTTGTGATTTGTGGCAATCCAGCTTGAATTTGGCAATTGATATTTTCCATGATTACAAGATGTTTGTTTTGGAGATGGCTTTCTTTTTACACTAAAGAAAGTTTTGAAAATATATTTACAAAGATTGAAGTTTATTAGCATGAATTGATAAAGATTGTAGTCAATTGAGTTTGTTCCCTGGTTACCCATTGCCTCAGCTGGTGTGCCTGGTTCTTAGGAAGGACAATGCTAAGATCTTTTCCCTGCTTCTGAGTTTTGCAGACTTCTTTAAAACTTTGATGACTTCAAAAGTTCTGCCCTTGTACAGGTTCCAATAGAGAGGGAAAATAAACATTCCATCAGCATGTCATCTTCATAAGGAATGAATCTTCACCACAAAAATTTATCAGATGTAGGAACTTGGGATCACTGCCCCATTATCTATAAATGGGTTTACTTACAGGCTATGACAGGATTTCATATCATAATCAGTGTTAAATGTGTGAATAGGATTGAAATGTTTGTCATTAACATTCTGCATTTAGTAATGAGTCTTCATAATTACATGTAGCAACTGTGTGTCTTATGGATCAGCAATCTGAGTGACTTCCAAACAGGTTAATCTATATTAATCAATGGTATCCAAAGATGGACTGGCCATACCTTTTCTGACTAACAAATATAATTAATAAGCACAAGAAAGCCTATCACATTCATTGCACCACAAATGATGAAATTTGTTAGTTTGAAAAGTGTGATCAGCGTTCTGATTTTTGGGAATTTTCTAAACAAAATGTTAAAGTGTCCTCATATCAGTTGTGCTCTGGCAATTTGGGATGACAAAGTGAGATACTTGTATTAAAAATGAATGTGTGTGTACTTTATTGTATTTTCATACAGCATCTTTTGTGAACTTGTCAATGATCTTAAGTATTTAGTCCTGGAAGATCTTTTCATGCCAGAATTTATGGGATATGATGGTGCCTAAGAACATATGCAGAATCATAACAACTAACTTTATTTTTTTTTATTTCCATAACATCTAAATACCTCCTTACAGAACTAATGTGTCAGAAACCATTAATTTCTTAAATTCCTAGTGATTTGGGATGGGATGTTTTTCCAACAGTTAGCATCCTCTGTTACTGGTCTACCTCCTAACTTCTGAACTACCTGCCATCACTTCTTTCCTAAGAAGAATAACAATCAGAATTGTGCTCTTTTCTATACAAAACATATTTACTGGCATTCAGATGATACATTTCTATGCTTTAGTTCTCCAGATTCCTAAGATATTGTTAAGTGAGGAATTTCTAAAACACTTTGACATTTGGATGATTAGTTGAATGGAAATGTTGACCAACAATTAGTGAGCTATTGTCATTTAATAACTGAAAAGGTAAAACATGGAATTAGAAGATGCTGGATTGTTTATTGAGATATGTACAAAAAGAAAGGTGGAGCTTTGATCACATGGTCAATGCTGCCATCCTGACTTTGTTGAACCCTTCTCTCTCTTCAGATGTTCCTAGTTGTATCCATCACAAACATACAAGATTGTCTGCAATGAACCTTTGTTCTCTCCGTTTCACCTTTTCTTTCCCCTAACCTAAATATGGGAGCAATCACACTTATTTGTTTTAAAGAGTCATGTCAGTGATCACAAGATCCAGTTTGGTCTAGTGGTTAAAGCATCAAACTAGAAAGCGGGTGACTGTGAGTTCTACTCCCACCTTAGCCATGAAAGCCATCTGGATGACCTTGGGCCAGTTATTTTCTCATAGCTCACCTCACCTCAACTCAAAGGGTAGTTGCTATAGGAAAAATAAAAGGAAGGTGTGCTGCATATGTTTGCAAATTAAAATATGCAGAAAATAAGGTAAGAGAACACCTGTCAGCTCTAGTTGGATTTAAATTACGGGTTCTGAGAGACTACATCCCAGAGTTTTGAAGGTACTGGCAGTTGTGATTTCAGAACCATTGAAACATATTTCTTGGAGCACTAAGGAACTACCTAAGGACTGGAAATGTGCTGATGTGGTTCCCATCTTCAAAAAAGGGGAAAAAATAAATCCAAGAAATTACAGATCAATCAGCTTGACATCAATACTTGGGAAGATCCTGGAAAAGATAATCAAAATACAAATATGTGAATACCTAGAAGTAAACAAGTTTATAACCAGTAGCCAACATGGGTTTGTGAAAAACAGATCATGCCAAACCAATCTTATTTCATTCTTTGAAGAATGACTAATTTAGTAAACCAGCAAAATGCTGTGGATATAGTATACTTACTTCAGCAAGGCATTCAACAAAGTAGACCACAACCTATTTCTTGGTAAGCTAGTAAAATGTGGGATAGACAACACCACCCCCAGGTGGGTTTATAACTGGCTAACAAATCATATTCAATGTGTAGTCCTCAACAGAACCACATCCACATGGAGGGAAATAAGCAGCAGGGTACCCCAAGGTTCCGTTTTAGGCCCATTATTCTTCAATATTTTCATAAATGGTCTAGATGAGGGAACTGAAGGAGAACTTATCACATTTGCAGATGACACTGAGCTGGCAGGAATAGTCAATACAGCAAAAGACGAGCTCAAGATCCAATAAGATCTTGACAGACTCAAACACTGGGCCCAGTCTAACAAAATAAAATTCAACATAGATAAAAATTATGTTTTACACTTAGGCAAGAAAGCCCAACTGTATAGGTATAGAGTAGGTGAAACTTGGCTTAACTGTGAGACAGATCTTGGAGTCCTAATGGACAATCACATAAATATGATAGAGGGATAGAATCAAGATTACGTGAACTTCCAGTACTGCTTTACAACGTGTGAAGAGCAATCTTCCAGGTAAAGCAAGGCAAACAGCAAAAGGCATGAGTAAAAGCCAGGGGAACGTAAACCTTCCTGGCAAAGACTAACTCCCCACGGCTTCTCAAGTTACTCCTATTCAGGTGTTTCTTATGAGGAGACTACTACTCTCGAGTAATCTTGCAGCCCTTCTCTGGGCTTGCCTATGGTCCACTCTCCTTGCCCTTGGATCAAGTGGAGTAGGCAGCTGTTCCTCATCAGAGGAGATTGGCTGCCTGTTAGCACCACTGCCGGTCAGCAGCCGATCCTCCCCTGTGTCTGTGCAGGCAGGCAGCTCTCCATCAACCACCTCACCCAATGCCTGAGGGACAGCATCGTCCTCAGCCCCTGGCATGCCTTCCCTGTTGGATTGTCCCAGATCCAATTCTTCCTCCTCCTCCTCTGAGCTGGCCTCTTGGGCCATGACACAAAGCCTTAGTAAGACCACACTTGTAATACTGCATCATATTCTGGACACCACAATACACAAAAGAATTGGAAAAAGTGCAGAGAAGAACAACAGTGGGTTGGAGGCTGAAACATTCCAAGGACAGTTACAGGAATTATGTATGTCTAATGAAAAGAAGGACTAGGAGTGATATGATAGCACTGTTCCAATATTTGAGGGACTCCTACAAAGACAGGGTCAAACTATTTTCCAAAGCACCAAAAGGCAAGAGAAGCAAAAATGGTTGGAACCCAAGGAGAGAGGAGCAACCTAGAACTAAGGAGAAAATTCTTAACAGTGAGAACCATCAACCAAGCTTGCTTTCAGAAGTTGTGGGTGCTCCAACACTGGAAGCTTTCAAAAAGAGACTGGACAACCAGTTGTCTGAAATGCTATGGGGTCTCCTGCTTGAACTAGAAGACCTCTGAGGTTCCTTCCAACTCTACTATTCTATGTTCTATTCCACCTTGAGTTATTTGTAAAAATAATAAATGTGAAATAAATAAATAAATAAAAATAAAATAATAAAATAAATATTTAAACTTGACTTTTGTTGACTTCATGAGCACATCCATCAAATGATCTTGATAACTGTGAAGACAGTTATAACTGTCGTCTT